TTTTTTTTTTAAATATGTGAATCTATATCTAAGAAAATTTATGGGAGGAAAATTTGTTTTTCTCTCTACAAATGTGTTCTGTTAGAGCTAAAGAATGGTAAACAGTGAGCTCACAGTTGAAAGTACTTCTAGGACAGAAAAGAGTTAAGTAGGAAAATGTTTAATTCTTTAATCTGTTTATAATTAAAAATGTTATTTAAATCTAAATCTTATTGGCATAGGCGTATATGTTGCTTGAAATTAGAAAAACTTCATTTTGGATTAAAATGTTCTTTTCCTATCATAAATCAAAGGTTTGCAGTAACTTTTAATTCTGTCTCTTATTTCTATAACAGACAAAACCTTCAACTGTAGAAGTTCTGGAAAATATAGATAAGGTATGTTCTTTGGCTGCAGGTGTTTTAAATTTAGCTCTTAAGTAAATATTAGTTTAGTATGTATTATTTTGAAGACCAGCTCTGGTATGGGAATTTAAAGATTATAACTACACCATAGATGTCTTTTTGAAATTATATGATTTCAAAGTAATCCAAAGTATGCCAGTGATAGTAAAAGTATGTGTTAAGTTATAGCAAATGTTAGAATGAAATTAGATTTACAGCATGGTGTAAATCAATGTTACAAATAGGATTAAGGCAGTTACAAGATAGTCCGTAACAATTTTTACTAGGTGATAGACTTCACAGTTTTTCATATTTCTTTCTTTATCAAAAATTGTTATTCCTTGGGATTATTGAGAGTGATGAATAAACTGAAAGAATCTATTGTGGATCTCTTAATTTTTATTAGTTCTTTTTTTTATAGCCTCATCTTTTAAAACTCTTTTATAGGGAGAATGAATACTTGTATGATTGAACAAGTATTGTTTACTGACTCCAATTTCTTAGCTTGATCTTGGATAATTTGCTGGGTTAAAATAGTACTTTAATTTAGCATTTAAAAATGATTTGAAGGAATAGGCATTTTTACTTATATTTTACTTCATTTTTAGTTTTCTTTTTCATACTACCTCCTGTTTTAAAATGTTAAAGCATTATATGTTACTGAATTTTAAAAGTTTTTCCTTTTAACTATCATGTTAAAATTTATGATGCCATTTTAATTTCTTCATGAAGTTTGAGATTTAAAAACAATAATTTTGTCTTTATAGGAAATTCAAGCATTGGAAGAATTTAGGGAAAAAAATCAGAGATTACAAAAATTATGGGTTGGAAGATTAATTCTCTACTCCTCAGTTCTCTACCTGCTTACTTGTTTAATTGTATACCTGTGGTATCTTCCTGATGAACTTACAGCAAGACTTGCCATGACACTCCCATTTTTTGCTTTCCCATTGATGTAAGTACATTTGCTCTTTTCTTTATCCTTTTCTCTTTCATTCCAGATAGTTTTAATATATTCAGTTTCTCAGTTTCTGGTTTTTTTTTTTT